TATAGCCCAGATTACGACAAAATAAAACATGCATATTTATTCATGTTGGTGTCACAACTCTCATGTTTATTTCGCCAAGTCGTCCAATCAGCAATACACTTTCTATAGCGATGAAAATTATGAAATAATGTTTTGCGAAATTTGATCACCTCATTTTAGCTAGAGGGATATTGAATATATATTTTTGGAACTTTCCTTAGTCTGCAAGACTCAGTCTTGATGCAATATTAAACTCAGAGGATAATCCTCAGAAAAGTGTGTGTTAATCTAAATATTGCTTCATCGTATAAAAATTAGGCTGCTATAATGTTTTATTATGAGTCAGCTACAGTAATGATTTGCAGAAATTTCACCGAGTTCTCATTAATTCGAATTAGAACTTATTTCAACATCCGCTTTTCCGAAGATATTTTGCGCTCGAAAGATATTACGCTTGCGGCCAAACGGTCGACTATGGGTTAAATTAATTAACAAAGTTTTGTTTTGTTATTCGTGATAAATGAAAAATCCACTTCCAATTCAAATAAGAAATTGACTATTATAAATCCAAATCATACCGTGTCTAATCCAATTCATATTTTTGTAAATACATAATTGGCTCTTCAATTTATCGATAGAAGGCCACTTAAAGCAAATAATTTTCTCATTTCCAAACTCGTATTGGGTTTTGGCCTAACTTTTTTTTTGTAATCGAAATTCTGAACCAGGTATCCTGCAGAGCACCCCCGACTGTGCAAACGACCATAAAAGCGCATTATATAGTAGGAAAAGCATTCCGAATATTGGTTGGGAAAAGGAAAAATCATCGTTTACGTTTTTTGAAATGAAATTTACTCTCTTAAAAATCGTTCAGGCTAAAATAATTTTGAACGGTGGTACCTAAAATTATTTATGATTAAATTATCCAAATATTTTTAGCATGATTTCGTTTTTTGGCAAATATTTAGTTTCATGTACATACAATAACAAACTTAATACATTATCAGCAGCTTCCCATAAATTGATTGCCAACATTCCGAAAGCGATAACCAGCTTCCGGACAGCTGACAATAATTATTGACTTTGTCAGTAGGTATAAAGTGGAATTTGAACGTTTGTGTAATGAATTGTATCACACTACAACAGCAAAACCAACATAGGAAATTGACTGAGAGGCAATATTATTGCTATTGATGCGCGCCCGGTTTTTATTTTCAACAATCAAGGCTCTGATACACATCTGATTATTAAAAAGTGTGCATAAAATTATATTGAACTACTTCTTGTGTGCATAATTAACTAACCAACTAGCGTACAACCAAGGAGTAAATTTTCTTAGAAACCAAAATGCAAATTTGCGACACAACATGTGGCTGGAATATTACTCCTGTTCAGCCCGTAATAAAGTCACGTGCCTCTCGCATTTTTGGATTTACGCCACTCTTGTGTTGAAAGCGACAGTGGCCCGGAATAAAATTAAAGCCGTAAATTGAAAGTTATTTGCCGTTTTTATTGGAATTCGAATTTATTTGCAGAAAGTAATTTTATTTTCAAGTGCATATTTATTTAAATATTGTAATTACTTTCCTAGTAAGGGGAGATAATTTGATTTTAAAGAATTCCTGGAATGTTTGTTTGAATTTCTTCCTTTTGGAAAGTGAACGTCTTTCCATTCTTAAGGATATCTTGAGAATGACTTCCTTCCAGTAAACCTCAAGTACCTGGCTATAGTATCGTCCTGGTTTGAGAACCACATTGATTTCTATATTTGCTGAATTTTCAAGGGTTGCAAATTGTATAATTCATTGTTATGGTTCGAGGTTTGTTTCAAGTATGACTATTGCTCATTTTCGATTATTGTCTGAATCATTAAGAAATTTTGGTCGAATGTTTGAGTCGCTTGGACATGCAACTTATTCTTCAAGACTGAGTTTCGTTTCCTACTTTCATGACATAACTTTATTGCACATGAATGTTAACTGGCTTATTTTTGGAAAACTTTCTAGATAGATTTATATTTAATATTTATTTTTTATGCCACGACTGCATTGAAATTGTAGGTTTTGCAATTTACTATTCAATAACTTATTAATATTAATGTTTCTTTACATTCATAAACTTAAAACATTTGTTTGTCACGATTTCATATTCAATTAATTCGACCACTGACAAAATATTTTACAATATACCAAAGCATTTATTTTTATGTTATTTTAGTTTCAAAATTAAAAAATAACGAATATTAAACTAAGCTTTAAACAATATTCATTCCAATTGGACCCTGATATAAATCACCGAAACTGTTGACACACGTTCATTAAATATACATTTTGCCGTCCAATTTTCTCCTTTAACTCTCTAATATGACAATGCCCTCTAAAATATACGAGTTTTTGCTGTTGTTTTTGCTATATCGGCCAGATTAGGGTAATTTATTATCGTTCATCATATTATGGTGGTTTTTCATGAATTATAAGTCAAAGGAAAATAAATCTAAGACAACACAGACTTATTAATTGTTTTATTATATGATTTCACGAGAATTATTAATATTAATTGCTAGGTTATTCAAATATTTTTGCAGTTTGCCCAATATCGTTAAACCGGATTCCTTTGGATAAGGATATTTATTTGGCAATTAATCCATTTCCCAATGTATAACATGTATAGTTTTTAGATAACTCAGGAAAAATTACTATTTAAGATTGGAAATCCCTTTTCCGTTACTTAAAAACTTGCGTCTTTTAGCCTTACTTAATGCCACGTAAAAAGCAGCAAGGTATACATACATATTTAAAGTACCTACTCTAATATGTAAACAGGTTTACCGCATTTCAAAGGTACCCAGGTGTCGCAAGAAAATGCTTTTAAGTACACACTCCTAGTCTAATTTGTGAGGCGATAAAATTTCATGGTTAAATAATATCACTTTGTTTTATGGGTTTCTTAAAGCTTACCGAGGAAAAGTTTACATTGTGAATGTTGCACCTTGCACATTAGATTTGTTATAATCAGTTAATGTTGGATTTGCTACCATCACAGCACTTGTAAAACGTGTTGCATTCAATAAATAAAAACATCATTATAATGTCTACTTATAGGTATGTTTTTAAGGCTTAGATTCTCTATATATACTGATAATATTTTCCGAAACCTCAGAATTAACTTTATTTAGATAGTTAGGTTAGCTTCACTTGAAAAAGTAGCTATTCGTTTTTTTTTTTTTTGTTTCTTCACTAATTACTGTTCAATTAAATTTTCATTTTCTATTCAATTCTGAAGAATAATGGGTTCTTTAAAATGGAACAGAGCAATTTTCCAGTCCAGCGTACGCAATACATAACGAAAACAATAAAAGCAATGACGCTAAAGCAATAAATAAAAATTCAAGTTCTTCTTTTTATTCGGGCATGACATTAAATCTACGGCAATTAAAAAAAACAATTTATCTGTCTAATCAGAAGGCTGCGCAAAAATACGATGGCAATAAAACCACCAAGCAAAGCGCCCCGTGAGCATTAATTACTGAAAAAAATAATTAAGGCCAATCTAAAGCATTTTATTTTTGCTAGTCGAAAAAATGCTTTATAAATTCTGTATTAAAATAACATAAAATTGATGGTTGACGTTTGAACAGCGTAAATTAGCTGAAAAAGAAGCAGTAAGCATAACTGTTTTCATTAGTGTATGAGATTTCCAGAAAATTTGGTCATAGATATTATTTGTAACCTGAACAAAAAAATATCGAGTTTTTCTCAAAACTAATTATCTAAGTATCACTTTTAAACTAAGGTTAGAATTGATCTAGTAATAAGGCTATTAAGATTTATAAAAGAAAAATCCACCGGTGCCATTGGAAATGAATAACCCAGAATATGAAACTTTTTACGATCGTCAAATGATCGAAGAACGAGCGGTTTGAGAAAGCACTTTGCGAAATTGAAAATGGTAATGACGGAGAATCGACACTCTTCATAAATTATCAAAGGAACTAAACCGAAAATTAATAAGCGATTCTAGAAGGTCCCAAGAGTGAAAATAATTTACGGAGAAAATTACTTTCAAACTATAGTTAAGAAAGTTGTTTGGTTCTACTTTTAAATTTTACTGATACATTTTGCTTTTGAAGTAGAACTTCTTTATGCATGATAGGGTAAGTTCGTCTTATGCGAGTTGTTATGTAACGAAAACATGCAACGCTAGGCATGCCCTCTACTGCCATGTAGTCGAGTGGGGATCACAGAATATATCCACCACGAAATCAGGAAGCACAATAGATGCAGTATTAATTTGTTAGATATTCAGATAGATTGCAATAAAAAACAATTAAATACATATCTTTCTTTTTTGTCGTTGAATGTTATCGGCAAATAGGTATACCATGAATTTTTTCTAAACATCTGTTTTTTTTTTGGGGAAGTTTAAAGTCCGGTGCTCTTATAGTTTATATTTAGTAAAATCGCGCTGAGGCCGATTATATTTTGCAATGACGAAGTTGGAGGTGTGTCTTGTGCTGTAATAATTTATATTTAGTAAAATCGCGACCCGGACATTTAAAATAACAAACTAAATATTGGTGGAGATGTTAAGTATAGTGTTCTGATTGATGTCCCAAAATTTACAAAAAAACCATCATGAGGAAAATCCGCCATTTTGAAAAAATCACCGCAATCTTGGATTTGTCGAGTTTTAAGCCTAGTGACTGAACCGATCATCATATTTTATTCGTTTTTGCATTAATTTACCTTATTTGGGTTGTCAAAATACTAAAATTGTGGATGCTGTTTCCAGGGCTGGATGAAGCTGCAATCAGGACTAGAAATAAGATCGGTGTCCTCTCCTACTATCATTGACACCGCACCATTGTTAGCTGATTCCACAACATTTTCCACTATGACGGTATCCGCATCACCCGGAGCTTGAATGATCTTGATACCATTTTCCATGAGGTGTCTTGATAGCAAAGCTATGAATCAAACCTTGTTTTTCACATTTGCCAAAAACGCTCCTTGTTATGATGTTTAGGGCAAACCATCGTCGATTAAAATCTTTGTCGATGCTCCTGTGGCGTTTCTTTTTGTATGTTCTTCGTCCTTGGTGCTTGGAGATTCGTAATCGTCGAAAACCACATTAGCTTTTTGCCCCAAGTGATTTTTCACGTACCTCACATAGTGGAGGCAGATTTGGCTGAAATTTGCTGGACGCGCCCACGCAACCCTCTGTAAAAGGAACCCGCCATCGACTGTATACTCTGTGCTCACTAAAAAGTTGTTCACAGGCGGCGCTATTTCTTCTAAAGCATCTATCAATCCAGACTTAGTGCCGTTACGCACCAACGTCCCGTCAAACAGCGCTGGAGGTTTTGCTGCAAGTTCATATCTCAAGTACTCCTTGAGGCCATCATCGTCACGCACAACACATAGCAATCCGTGAAACAGTTGTTTGGGGTTGACGCTGCGATGAAGGTCGTGACTTTGTTGTTTTGTTTCAAGTTGACGTTACTAAATTTTTGTCCTGTGATTGATTTCATTGCTTGCAAACTACGGAAGAGAGCTTCATCACAGTTAACTGTATCGTCGGCTACTACACCGGTAGACAAATACACTAGATGGTTCGTTGAGTAGTTGAAAGGATGATGTGATTGGAACCAGTTTACCATCTTGCTAACGTCTGCCTTATCTCTCATTTACCGTGACTCTCTTAGCTCCACGTGCTGGTTGGAGGTTTCGGCAGAGACTCCACAGAACATTTCAGTAGCGTCTATTACATTTATAAATGAAGGCATGGCACAAACCCATCGACCAATGACGTTATTCGTTATCGTCATCAACACTTGCTCTACTGTCATATCGTTCCATATGTCTGACCAGAACTTTCCAGTTCTCCTGACAATAAAGCAGCCTTCTTTTGTAGCATTTTCAATTTCCCTTCAAGTATGCTACTGTGTTTTGCCATAGTGGATATAATTCCATATAGAACTATAAAGAAATAAATGAATTAACGACTATCTTTTCTGTGCCCAAATTTTATTACCTTGAGTACTGCCTTCTAATAAAAGTTTTTTGGTTCGGGTTTGCAACTGTAGTTAATTGATCTAGGAAGGTTTGATTCAGTACGGCAGGGCCCGCTGTTATTGATTAGAATCTTATAAAAAGTAGAGAGTATCATCATCTCTAGTTGGCAAATCCAATCAAAAAATCTGAGGTTATGATAGTTGCGGTTGTTTACTTTTTTCGATTTTTCAGTTTCATGATACATCTGTCATTGAACAGCTGTCTTGTCTAGGCGTTTTCTTTAGATCTGTTCTACTTTTTGACATATGTTTTATAGGCAATTTTCAACATCCACCGGTTATCTGGAGTCATTTATACACAACCCACTTTTCAGTTCGTATTTTTGGGGTGAAACTTAACACGCCCTTTTCTATAATTTTCATCAATGTCAAAATTAGAAGTTTGACAAATGGAAGCCCTCTTTCCAAATCTAAAAGGAAGAATCTCCCCTCTTGATTTTGAGACCTGATACTGTGAGGTCGGTCTTGGCCCTAATTATTTTTAGGCAAGCCTTTTTGGAATTTTTTGCCAGGGAAACTCGAATTAGACTACTTTCTTGTTGATCATTGTCTAGAGTTGTCCCTTGGTCATTTTGAATTTTGTTTCGGTAAGTTTTGAGATCTTCTTCAGGAATCACCTACAACACGTGTTTCATTTCTTCAATAGGATCGTTCCGAGCAGCTTTTGGAAATGTAAGACTTCACTTTTGGCCTAGAGCATCTCTCAGTTAGAGGTAAGATTATTTTTAATGTTCGGGGCTCGATCTGTTTTTTTATACGAACATCGTTATAGGGTTCTAGGCTATATCTAGACAGATTCTAGGCTGGATCTAGATTGCTCTTAGTTGAGGCTCTGGTAGCTTCCCTTCAGCAATCCTTTTTGGTACCACTCTGATAGAACCACGTTGAGTTCTACGTTAAACAGATAAAACGTGGATAGGATTCCCATAGAACTCACTCACCATACCATAGTCTGGAACAAACTTAGAACTGCTAACTGCTATTGTCTGGATCTACAGTGAGACCAAACATGTAGATAACTTCACTTTAGGAGCTTTCGAGTTTACACATACATTTGAAGATAACTAACACTTGTATACAATATGTAAGTTGCACTTTTTACTATTTAGGCAAATCTTATATAAATCACTTGACACTGAATTACGTCAGTACGTGCCCCTTAGATAAAATTCTATAATTTTACCCTGAGGTTGCCCTAATAATAGTTTTTACCTTTCTGGTGTTAAATTTGCCTCTTGGTAGAGTGTAACTGAAATTGTGGTCTTAATCTTTCACAAGTGTAAACAAACAGTTAAAACTATTTATTTTAAATTCATATACAGGGTGTTCGGAAAGTCAACGATAATACTAAAGAAGCTGATAGAGCAACTCATTAGCATCCAGAAAAACCTAATATGACCTTAATAAAAAATCGATGATTTCCAAGATATTGTCACTTTAATAAAATCGTCCTCTTTTCTTTGATCAGATTTTCGAGTGTCACTTTAAAATTTTAATTATTCTCAGATTCTGAATTAAGTTTTGCAATGGTGAATAGACATTTCATTTGTCATAGACCTACAATAAAAGTCAAAGTTCAAAACATTTACTAAAAAATCTTTTTAGGCCGGAGTTACCCAATTCCTTAATTCTTAATATTTGTCCTTAATAATTCTTAATTCTTAAAAAGTTCAATTTATTTAACATTGGGGTTTTTAAAGATTAAGAATTAAGAACAAAAATTAAGAATTAAGGAATTGGATAACTCCGGCCTTAAAGTGAATACTTCTGATACTTCTAATTTTATTAAAGGGACAATATCTCGGAAACCATCGATTTTTTACTAAGCTCATATTATCTTTTTCTGGATGCTAATGAGTTGCTGCATCAGCCCTTTCAGTATTATCGTTGACTTTCCGGACTTTTAGATTTTTCTTTATAGCTCCTGCAATTTTTGAGGGATTTAGCTGAAATTTGGATTATAGGTTAAGCAATAGGAGCTGCATGATTGCACATTTCAAACGTTTGTTTGAATTTACAGGGTGATGTTTTTTCAGGGGTCATATACCCTTTTCTGCCCCTGAACTTCTTGGCGATGCGCCGCGGGTAGATTCTAAGAACTAAATCATTTTTCTACCTTATTTAGAAACTTTTTGTTCTCCTGTAGTTTTTTCGAATTACCGACCATTATCGAGAAAAAAATTAAAAACCAAATCTCTGTAATTAGCTAGATGAAACTACAGTGCCTCAATATACCTTTTCTACCTATAGTGGCGACAATAGAAGTCGAGCCGCCATAGTATTGATAATTTTCAGTAGGAATCTAGAAGTGAGCCACGCCCTTGCCAACATATTCTTGCTCATTTTCAATATGAATACATTAAAATTTCACCACCCTGTAAATCAGTAACAAAGCGTTTGCTGACCTATGTTTATTAGAAATGTTAGTAATAAAATAAATCAAAGAATCAACCCTTTCAGTTTGGACCATGACTTATGGGACACCCTGTATATTATTTACATTCATATTTTTTTTTATAATCAAATATTTATAAATTGGTACAAGCCATAATCCATACACATTTTTAACAACGTTCTGGCTATCCCTATTTAATATTGTAATTATTTTTAATAAAGAAAGCCAGATACATTATTGTACCTAATTGGTTGTTTTATTGCTAAGATCTCCAATTGCACAGGTTTTGTTTATGACATCATTAAGTAATCTTCCTAGTTAAGTCACAATTAACTTGGTGGCGCCCAGAGATAAGATGTATACAAGGAATCCATAAATCCATGGCCTCCGAATTGATGCTGACTAGCCGTACGCAGTATAATTAATCACTTGCCAAAGAGTACGTTATACTTTTTTTTTTAATCAGGCACTTTCCAAAAAGTACGTTATACTTTGACAAATTGACGGAATTCCAATGGAGTCATAACATCCTCGAGCTTCTGCATTTGTTGTAGGGACATGTGACCACATTTTGCATAGTTAAGATGTCCCGCAGAGTGGAAAAACGTAATCATTCTTTGGACACACAGCAAGTGAAAAGCCCAATCTCTGGAACGTTCGACTCTGACAAACAGACGCATGATACCAACCATCTCAAAGTATTGCACCCACAACTTCGCAATGCGCCGTTCAGATGCAACGAAACCTTTCAATTTAGCGTCGAACATATCTTCTGACTGAGCGACGTAGGTAATCTGACGACAAAATATAATCTATAGAAGTATTTCCAAAGAGCAGGTCTGAGTGTATTTGTTTTAAGTTATCACTTAGAAGAGTGCGGACATTTTCTATATCCCGAATGATCAACAATCGCCTGCGTCAGAAAATATGTACGGAGAGCTCGCGCGTAGGCATGGCGGTTTACCATATGGGTCACCGGCGTACACCGTCTCCCACAATTCTTCCAGGCCGCTACCTGCCATGACGGTTCCCACAGCGCTCATAAACGACATCTGCATCTGAAAGCCATCGAGGCGCAAAATAATACACGACAACGGGCGTTCTTCTCTAGCCGCAAGAACGATGTCCAGCGCCTTCGCGTAGAGAGGTTGGTCGGAAGTTACCACGCACGTCGACTGCTGCGCCTTTCTGCATATTTCCACGGCGAATACGAGACAGGTGTAAATCGTAGTAGGATTCAGAGGCGAAAGTCAATGGAAGAACTTTTGCACTCTTCTTTAGATGTTATTGCCTTCATAAACCCATTCCAGCCAGGCCCTGGAGTTTCTTGGAGCTGATATCCTCACATGCACTTCATATCAATGAGATTGGCTTCCTTGGCTGAGGCAGGTTCTGGAAGAGCAGCGCTAACGTCTTCCGCAACGATAAGTGCTGTAACGATTCTGGGTTTTCCTCAGGGTGCCAACTCGATTGTACCTAGAGACCTCAACTCTGCTGTTGGAAGTGATTGGTTAGTTCTTGAAATCGGATCGCTTGCTTCAATGGCTTGTGAAGGCGTTATGTACCTTATCCTTCCCATGGCGTGAAAGGTGCCATGACCATCTAAAATCCTCACGTTATGGTCAGTATTGTCAAATAAAAATCTAGAATTCTACTATCCGATTCTGTACCTTCTGATGGAGGTGCACATAAATTCCGTTACCCTGCCCTACTCCTAGGATTGATCATCCCGATCAACTTCACGACCATGATATTTCGTCAATCTGTCTAGATGTACAACTTTCATCTTACTCCTGGACGTGGATTCCGTGCACTGTCGAATTCTATTAGCGACATGTCGCGTTCGATATTTTGTAATACGTGAACCGTTTTCTACACGATTTCCCATCATATTAAATGTAGAAATCGACACCAGAATTCGACATGCAGAAAGTGACAGAACACAGAATCCGCGTCCTGGTGTTGCGCTGAACTCGATTAACCAAATCGTTGATCCTCTTGATTATTCTGTAGGGTCCTTCCCATGCTGAAGACAATTTCGGCGACACTCCTTTCTTTCTGGCTGGATTATACAGCCACACTAAATCACCTTCTTCAAAAACATTTTTCCACTGATGGATCAGCGTTCTTTGCAACTGCATTCTCAAAACGAATCGATTCGGAGTACGCAACAGCCTCGAGCCATATCATCGATGATTGATGAAAGCTGACTCCTAATCCAAGTTGTAAGGAAGAAACGAACGACGGGCTCCAAGTACAGTAGCGCCATCTACAACTCAAC